TAGAGAATTCAAATGAGTTGTTGAATTTTTGGATGCTTATTTTGTAAGTTATGTATGCTCATCTGGTATTGGTAATTTGATATGACCATCAGACTTATTATGTTGAGTATTATGAGGTTAATATTGAACATCGTGATCGTTGCTTTATATTTTCCAATTCACTTTGTTTTTCTTATTTTTTTTTATAAAAAATCTAACTTATATCTATAATCAACTCTTAGGATTTTAATCTAATGTAATATAATACTTTTGAAACGAGCATTGATGTGACACTTTAAAATGAGCATAACATCATTACCAAATGAGCATATGCAGCTTACAAAATGGGCATTGATATGAAAATAATAAGCTTTATTATTTGAGCATTAAATTATTTTCATGTATCATCAAACCTCCTGTATTGAGTATTAGAAGCATGCAATTGAGTATCACGATCTTCACTCTCGTGTCTATAATAGACTCTCATTCGAATCTAATGTAATATGGTAATTTTGAAATATGCATTGATATGACATTTTAAAATGAGCATCAAATCAAGACTAGATGAGCACACAAATTTACAAAATGAGTATAGAAAAATTCAAAAGCACATTAAAGTATCTAATGTTGAGTATTAGAAGTCTAATGTTGAGTATTAGAAGTCTAATATTCAGAATCGTGATCTCTGTTTCATAACTTCTAATTCATAACTTCACTTTATTTTTATTATTATTTCTTTTATTAAAACTTAATAGTACTTTATAAAAATACATTGATAACATTTAGAAAATGAGCATAAGATCAATACTAAATGAGCATACGTAACTTACAAATGTTCATTGATATGAAAATCATAAGATTTGTTAGTTTGACATAACCACATTTTCATTGAGCATCAAATCTTCTCTATTGAGATGAAATTACAATTTCTGTTAAATGAGCATTTATGAACTTTTAATGTGCATTGGACCTATTATGAGCATTAAAACACTTTTAATGAGCATCAGACTTATTTATTTGAGTATTAAGAACTTAACAATGTGAATCCAATGTCATATGCAACTTTTAAAATTTGCATGAATATAACATTTTAAAAATGAGCATAGTATGAGTACAAATTCATCAAATGAGAATACATAACTTATGAAATGAGCATCGAAATATTTAAAATGAGCATTACACCTATATGCATGGATATGGCATTTTAAAATGTCTGGTGTAATACTCATTTTAAAGTGAGCATTACGCCAATTTAAAATGAGCATAGATAACTTACGAAATGAGCATCGAAAAAAATTAAAAATCTCATTTAAAATCTCTAGTATGCTCAAATATCAATTTATGTATGCTCATATCAGTATAACATAAAGAATAGGTGTATATGTTTTTATTGCATCGCATTTGATATGAATTTTTGAAAGAATTGCATGAAAAAGACAAAAAGTTATTGTAGCAAAATTACATAAAAACAAAAAAGTAGGAGTTCAAAATTATAAAAAGTATGTATAAAAAGATAAAAGAAAAAATGAAGTATAGAAAAGGAAAAGAAAATTTAAAGTTGGAAAAATTAAAGTTCAAAATTAGAGACAAAAAAAAACCGAAGCAGAAAAAGAAAATTGAAACATAGGAGAATTAAAGTTCCAAACTAAAAGAAGAAAAAGGAAAACCATAACTATAAAAAAGAAAGGAAAAACGAGAAGCAAAACTAAAAGAACGGAAAAACAAAACTAAAAAAACGGAAGAGCAGTAAAGTAACGGAAGAGGAAGAAAGGAGAAAACTATAAAGTTAAAATATAAGGAAAAGCAATAAAAAAAATCGGAAAGGCAAGAACGGAGGAGGAGAAACAAAGGAAGCAAAAGCCATGATCCTTAACTAATGACCTCCGATTTGCATATAATTACAAAAATACCTGGCTGTACCAAGTGACACGGTACAGCCGGGTGTATAATATATTTTGCCAAGAAACACTATGTATTTAGGGGGTGTTTGGATGTGATGCTCCTTCGGGGAGCAGAAACAGAAACTGGAGTGTTTGGGTGAAAGTGGTAATTCTAGTGCTCTAATTTACTCATAGAATAAGTTTTTTTTAAAAGTTGGAGGTGACCAGCTTTTGAAAACTGATTCTTATTCTGCTTGCTTTAAAAAAGAAGCAGAATCAGAATCATTTCCAAACATTCCCTTAATTATGGAAGGATAGTTTTGTACTTCTACAATCTACTTCCAAAAAATCACTTTTTGTATCAAACACTCCAACTTTTAAAAATTGATTCTAGATATTCACACAGGGTTCAAATTGGATGGTTCGAGTTATGGGTGTTCTTTCGGGATTAAAATTAAGTAAATTAGTTTTCAATTAATCCTAGACTAGAATTAAATTATATTATCACAATCCTAGGCTGTATTTCCATGGGACAAAATTCAGGCAAGCAGCGAACTTGGCAATGAACTCCGGCAAGAAAGGAAAGAAAAAAGTCAGACAAATAAGTTGCAGGCGTATTTAGTTCAGTTTCTTTCTAACCTTTTCTCGCTTCATTCTTTCATTCTTTCATTTTCCCTTTCTTACTTTCTTTCTTGTCCCTGTTCAGTTTTATTTATTCTTGTTTTCCGGCGAACTCGCCGCCAATATCAAGGCATTGAGGTAATTGTCTACGAATTCACCGCTCACGTCAAGACCTTAAAGCGATTGTAGATGAATTCGCCACCCATATAAAGACGCAAGACCTCTACTCTCTCTTCCTCTAGCTCTTTGGGATTCAGATACATGATTGTCGATGAACATTGAAGAAAGAAGACAGAACGAGCACCATGGACCTAAACGCCATTTTGCAGGCATCCATTGCTCCAGTTCTCTGCCGGAGTCCGCCCCTGAGTCAGGGGCGGAGCCAAGGGGGGTCAGGGGGTCAGTCGACCCCGCTGAAAGTTTCAGAGCATAGAGCTCTGAAATATCTTCGATTTGATATATTATGGCCCCCGTAACTCATCACCAGTAAAAAGTTATGACTTCTGCAAAATCAGCACTATCTAAACGTAAAATCAGCAAAATTTGATGAGTAATATTGATTTTTCCCCAAATTTTAAAATAGCGTATAATTAACTCATTACTTACGTGACATGACTCAAAAATAGAGCAAAAACAGTCTCTTTTATTGTTACGAGTGCCTATTTATCTAAACTACATATAAAATATTCAACTCGGACATTGTTTGGAAACGACCCACCGTTTTCATTTTGTATAAAGTTGATTCTCGACCCCCCTGGACCGTATTTCTGGCTCCGCCACTGCCCTGACTTCCAATAGCTGCTCATTGCTAGCGCCTAATTAGGGGGGTTAATAAAGGAGTAGATCAAACAACGAAAACAACGTAAGAGAAAAAAATATAGAATTGTGATAATATAATTTAATTCTAGTCCAGGATTAATTGAAAACTAATTTACTTAATTTTAATCCCGAAAGAACACCCAGAACTCGAACCATCCAATTTGAACCCTGTGTGAATATCTAGAATCAATTTAATTTTTTTCTATTTATTTTTGCACTTGCAATTAGTTAGTTTTTTTATAACCACCCAAAAAGAATTTATTTGGAAAGATTGTCATAACTTGTGCTAGCTTGTGATCACGGATCATATTTAAAACTTCCTTTTTGTCACTTCTTAAAGAGACGATACTCGTGGTCTGGTTATTCTTTGAATTAGCCAACTACGTTTCACTCACTAAAAATAATACTGATCAACTCTTATTGTCTTTTACACAATACAACACACATACCCCATATCAGTGAACATAATTGTTTAATCGTCAATTAGCAACACCCCTGACATTAATATAGAGACAAGATAAGGGAAGAAATAATACTCAAGAAAATCGAATGGGCAAAACCAAGAATCAGGAGTTTGGCTCCTCAATTGGAGACTAAACATGAAAGAAAAATAAAGAAAACACTTATCTACAATGAGTTTATGTATATGGGATAGTGGATATCTCAATAAGAAGAAGTGTATATTTAGAGGTGTTTGGAGGCTACCCGGACGGGTGTCCTAAACAGTAACTACGCGGGTTAAGAAATCATGTCATACCCGATAGGGTATGTCGGTATACTCGAGCGGGTATAACGCCAAATCTTGATGAAAATATCCTTGCACGTTCAATTGTTCTCCGAATCCGATTTGATACTCGAGTCAGGTCAATACCCGATCGGGTATTACATATACCCGATCGGGTATATGACTAAATTAGGTTTTTCTTCTTTTCCCTTGTCCTCTTGCACCTTGATTCTTAATTTGGGGTTACCTACGTTCATCCATGATCTTTTGGTTGATCTTTGATCGGTTCGTGCTCAGAATAATCTAATCCAAACAAACTATAACTAATAATACGAGAATGAAAATAAAAGATTGCCAGGTAAATGTGCAAATACTATAACAGCACACATTAAAAAGAGTCCTTTTCTTGTCCAGCCGGCCTGACGGGAACCGCCGTCCGGCCGAGGGCATTTCGGGCACTTCCCGATGGAATTTTTTGATGAAATTTTTTGAGCATGTTCTTCATGAAGTTTAGTTTATGCATACCAAATTTCATCTCAAAATTCGATCGGGAAGGCATTCCAATAATTTTTTGAAGTTGACTGTGTCAAAGTATACATATAAAAACCCAGTCAACTTCAAAAAATTATTTGAATGCCTTACCAATCGAATTTTAATCTGAAATTTGATATGGATAAAATAGACTTTATGAAGAACATGCTCAAACAATTTCATCAAAACATTCCACCGGGAAGTGCCCGAAATGCCCTCGGCCGGACGGCGGTTCCCGTCAGGCCGGCTGGACATGAACATTTGTCCATTAAAAATTACTACCTCCGTTCCTAAAAATTCTTTCCGGTTTGAATCGGCACGCTTATTAAGAAAGTGGAATAAAGTGGAAATGTGTGGTTGTAGTTGTGTAAGAAAAAGGTAAAATGAATGTGAGCTACACAAATTGTCCAAAAAGGGAAAGTGAGAAGTATTTTTGGGAACGGCCCAAAAAGGAAAGTGAGAAGTATTTTCAGGAACGGAGGGAGTACTTAAAAGTACAAACATACACACTACTACAAATCAAACAAAATCACCCGGGCCCTATTATAAAGGTAAGGGCAATCTCTGAAATGTATCGTAAAATATCACAAGCAAGCAAGCATATAAAATAGAGAAAAAGGGGCACACATTCGAAGATTAATGTGATATAAAGAAAGAGTTGGGTACGGAGTATGGGAGAAAAAAAGCACACACATATATATAAAATCTGGCAGCATGATGAGTGGCGTACGAGAAGCTGCACAGCTGGATCGATCAAGTGCAATCATGGTGTTTAAATCCCATCCTCCCTCTCGGAATATCGAAGAAGACCCCCAAAGTCTGCTGCTGTAAGGCTCCAATGACTGGTATGTCCTCGTCTCTCCTATTGGGAGTGAAAGCTAAGCACACTTGGGAGTTGTCGGGATTGACTGGATACATGACGGCGGAGGGATCCAAATCAACCACCGTATTATCACCAAACGTGAAGCTTATAGAGGGGGTGATACGTCGTACATCGGCGGCGGAAAGGGTTTTGAGGTTGTAGCAGTTGTCAAAAAGAAGGGGGTCAGAAGTAGCGGGAGGCGCTCTCGGGTAGCCTTGCATGAGATGCGTGAAGGAGTCGTTCAGAGCTTTGTAGATTGTAGGGGGCAGCAAGCTGATCGGGGTTGCTGTCTCGACCGTGGTGTCGAAGGCGAACAGCGGTCTGGTAACATTCCTAGTAGTGTTAGATGTTCTCTCTCGCTCTGTGATGGTATAATTCAGTTTTCTTCCGTTCACACTTATAGCTGAGACCTTGGTGGTGTACCACATTGCGTGAGGTTCGTCGGGCGTCTTGTAGAAGTTGGTGTAGTTCATGACCGCCGCCGCCTCTTGTTGGCATCCGAAGGTTAAGTGCCCGCCTGCCCCGTTCACTGTGGTAAGGCAATAGGAGAAACATTTCTCCAAGCCGCGGCTTTCGTTAGATGCCGCGGCTTGTTGGTAAAGAATGGAGAGGTTGCCACCTTTCCCCAGCCCCATCGCGCCCGCCTCTACCCCTCCTCCTGAAAGATAACCACTCGCGTTGCCGCACCAGAAAACGAAGTCATTCAGGAGCACCGCCGCCTCCGCACCGCCACCGCCTGCGGCAAAGCTCAACTGGTCCTTCCCCAGACGGCCCGGAGCGTAGGAGTATCCCAATTGGTACTCACAAGGACTTGTGGAATTGCGGCACTCCGGGCCACTTTCTTCGCCCTTGACAGCAGCGAGGGCGGAGCAATATCCCGAGCTACATGGGAGGTCGGAGTAGGTCTCCGAACTTGAATAGTTGAATATGGGAAGTTGCTCGGAGCAGCCCTTGCACGGCTGGCACTGAATCCACGTGAGGTCGATGGCCGTGTCCAGGACTAGGCTCAGTTTTGAATTTCTGCTCCCGAGTTCAACCTGCACAGCGTGCTGTCCGATGATCCCGGATGATTTCAACTTGTTCAACACCTCCAGCCTCACCCCCTTGCCACCTAAGCTCCATCATCATGAATAATTAACACACAAATTGAAACTACACATAACAAAAAGAGTGAAATTGCCTATATACACAAATTGAAACTCATAATATTCCCTCGACCCCAAATTAACTAAAATTTGCTGGTCTGGTCTGATATGAACTGATCTGGTGTGGTCTGGTAAGCCGCCTCTTGGCTCTAACTCCATCATCATGAATAATTAAGATGCAAATTGAAAGATGAAACTGTACTTGACACAAAGAATGAAATTGCCCATATACGCAAATTGAAATGGTAATACTCCTTCAGCCCCAATTTTTTTTAAAATTATGTATAAACAACTATGAAAAGTATATAAATATACCGAAGTTATATAAAATATTTTTACTCATTTTTCGATTTATTATCACTAAAATTTTATTTTTTTCTTTGGTCCAATTTGTTTTTCCCAATTGTGAATTGTGTTATCAATTTGTGATTTCGTATTATTTTCCTTGATTCAATTAAATTTATCCACTCAAAGACTGTAAATATTTTCAAATTTATCCACTCAAAGACCGTAAATATTTCAATCGGAGCCCAAATCATCGAGTGGATCATCTCGATTATGAGAGGCGCATTATTAGCTTTAGACTCACTTAATATTGCCAACATTTAAGTTGATCCGGGATAAGGTCTATGCCCCCGTACTTCTTACTTATTTTTAATAATAATAATAATAATAATATATTATTATTATTATTATTATTAAAACCTCTAAATGGATGTGGAGTTAGTCCTATAATTACCTCCATTAGAAACACACATATTCATACTTTGCCTAAATTGCGTCTATCTAAGTGGAAACGTAAGGGTGGATATATATATATATATATACACGTACAAATAAGAATGTAAGTTACCTTCCAGAGATGCACTGCAATTAAAGGAAACAAGCGTTGCTAAAATCAGAACAAGCAGAATGAACATATTTGAAGCTTGAAGAAATTTCGAAGCCCCATTTTCGTTTATTTTGTCAGAAGCCATCATTTTGAGTATGGCAAGATGTAAGTAGGGTATATATAGCTATTTTAGAGAACAAGAAACAAATACTCGCAGGGTATTTATAATATAACGGGACATAGATTAATGAAAGTGAATGGTATATGCGTTATGCGCGTATTCACTAATTCTTTCGTAAGACTAGGCAGACTTCTACTCATTCTTTTTTCTTTTTGACCATAACCTATATATATAATTACTCAAAAATCAAAAGATGAAAGGGGACATAATAATTAATAAAGGCTAGGGTAGAGGAATATAATCTAATGGTACAAGGATTTATAATCATTGCAATAAACGTTTATCAATGGCTAACCATTAAAATATTGAATTGACTATTAATAATTAAAAAAAAATCATATCTTAAGGGCTTGTTTGCAACCAATTAAAAAAAGTGATTTTGGCTTTTTTTTTAAGAAAAAAACACTTATTTTTCCAAACACTACCAACTTTTACTTCCTCGATTTTCGTGTAGAATCTACTTTTTACTTTTTCTATTACACAAAAAGCATTTATTTTACCAAACACTACCAACTTTTACTAATAATCACTTTTTCCCCAAAAGTGCTTTTATTTAAGCACAAGTGGTTGCAAACAGAGCCTAAGTGTCTTCCCTCCGTTTATTCCGATCATTAATATACTACGTATGATATACTTCGCTTTTGTAGTAGCGCAAATTTTAGTAAGCACGTTGCGTGCTCTTTATTGAAAAAAAGTAACAATGATATAGCGTGTAGGGTAAATGAAGAAGTTGAATATGCAACATATTAAGAAAATGAAAGTAATGAATAGGTAAGGAAAAACAAGAAGGAAAAAAAGTAAGAATAGTAAAAGTGGAGGTATCACGTGTGTATATACAAGAGATGATTTCAAAAAATGTGCAAACGTTTATACTATAAAGTGGATAGTTACTGATTAAAAGTGTACTCATGCGAGTCAAAAAAGATTGTCAAAATTTTTCATCTTGTGCACTTTTTATTTTGTACCGTATTGCACTTTTGTGCTCTACGTGTGCACTTTTTTACTATTCTGATGCACATTTGTCACAATATTTTCAAAAAAAGTTCTCCATAATTACAAAAACGCCACCGCGTTTCCAACTTAAAAATTGATCTCTTCCACCCATTTTATCACATCAATGGCCAAGATTAGTTCTTATTTTTCACCTAGGAAGTACTTTTTATTTGAACCAAATTCTATATATATAAATATATATAGAGGACTTTTCATGTTCAGCCGGCCTGACGGGAACCGACGTCCGTCCGAGGGCATTTCGGGCACTTCCTGGTGGAATTTTTTGATGAAATGTTTTGAGCATGTTCTTCATGAAGTCTAGTTTATCCATACCAAATTTCAGATCAAAATTCGATCGGGAAGGCATTCAAATAATTTTGTGAAGTCAACTGGGCAGTTTATATGTATGAACTGCCCAGTTAACTTCAAGAAATTATTTGAGTGATACCAGTTGTTGGTCCCGGATTATGTGGATTATCTAACAGTTTAGAATGGAAATCATCGCATAAACAGAAAAGGAAGACATCACAGAATGATTTAAGCAAATATCAAGTGCAGAGAAATCTCCTCTCTATTTATCGAGAAGTGCTTTTGACAGCTTAAGGCTACTGAGCAGAATAATCGATCCTTGTACATGTGCAGGACGCACATATTTATAGGCGCTGCACAGGTTTCCGAATTAGGTTACCTAGGAGTTTGGGCCTAAAGCCTTTTTGGGCCTTATTCCTTTACTCCTATTTATTACATAATAGAACTAATACCGTAAATGGTATATCTATTCTAATTATTTAAACAAGACATTACAGACAAACTTGACTCACAATAAAAGTTCTAACAATAAGTACTCCCTCCCCCCCTCTTATATTTTCTCATTTTACCTTTTTGGGAAGTCCCACTAATATTGTCTCATATCATATTTGGTACAGTTTGTGTGGTTCTAAATCATTCTTACTTTATCAATTAATATCAACCACACAAACTCACTTTTTTTAATAATCGTGTCACTCTCCTCTGTACCAATATAAAAGGGATGGAGGTAGGATATTAATTAAACTATTCAAAACTAACATCTCTGTTAGGGTATTAAGCCAATTAACTGACAAATCTGATACGCTAAAAAGCCAAATAGTCAATTAATTGGACTAAGAACTTTCATATATGCATCAGAAAGTCTTTTTTGGGCATGAACAAAAATTAGCATATATTATGATACCTAATGCACATATGGAAGTTCTTGGAAACTATTCTCAAAAGTAAATAAAGAATAATAAAAGAAAATGGTCAAATAAGCTCTTCTACTATTTTCAATTCATCACTTAAATTCATGTACTAAAAAATATCATTTACATGCATCTACTTTAAAAATTGATGAATTCAGCCATTTCTATTTTGTTTTTGACCTATAATAACAAGTTTTTTATATTAAAAACTCTAAAAAAAATTAATTAAAATTTGAAGAAATGGAGATAAAAATTGTGAAAATTTTCAGAATGTCAAAGTCAATGTTTCTGAAACTTTAAAATTATTTCTAGTTTCTAAATCTATTTAAGAGGTTTTTACATTTTCTATTTTTTACATTTTGACTTTGTTTTTTCAATTATCTGATTTTTTATTTTAGACTAAATGGTCAAATAGGCCCTCGAACTAAGTTAAAAAGTGCAATTCACCCCTTATTTAGGAGGCTCTGTCCGACCGTCGCCAATTTTTTAATGTTTTTATATTACTTATCTATTTTACATTTATGCTTTTTTTATATTATTTTTCAAATTTGTATGAATTTTAATAAGACTTATCAATACTATTTATTTATTTATTAAAAGACAACTTGCTATAGTAGGTCAATTTGAAAGTCTACTTTATGTCACCTTTGGAAGTCTTATTCTGCATTGAAAAAAATATAACTCTACTTTATGTCACCTTTGGAAGTCTTATTCTGCTTCGTAACTGAATGTGCAAATAATCTAAGCCTATATAGCAATAAAATATTGTGTATGTGTATATATATATATGTGTGTGAGTGTGTGTGAGAGTAAGGTAACACGGAGTAATATTAGTGTTTAATCTAAATCTGAGCGCTCACTAATTTGACTATCCGAGCTAAGTTAGTTAGTGTATTTATGGTTATTTAAAATTAGATTTCTTCTGGATTATAAAAATTTTGTTAGTATTCTTAATAAGAAATTTTAAGTAAAACTCTTCCGGTTTATTAAGATGATGTATATAAATAAAGGGCATAATTCTTAAAAAAATAGTTAGTTCCAAATATCATCATAATGATTTTATAGCAAAATTTAGGAAAGGAAGTAAATTAGTAGCAGTAATTGTGTACTAAAATTAGGGGTGGTTGTAAAAAAACAAGGGGGACTTCAAATCAAGGACTTAAATGGACGGCAAAAACACCACTCCTAAGACTATTGTTGTGATGGACCGGCTAAACATTGATCAACATGGAATAACTAAACATTGATCAATATGGAATAGGATTTTTTCTCAAAACCAATCCACTTGGGCTGCTAATTTAGTAATGGGAATAAGCAGAACCCATGTCGGCAAGTTCAGAAAGTGTGAATTTATCTGCAAATTCACAATATTTTTGAATTCCTATAACATGTTATAATTACCTAACGCGTTATAGGAGCATCGATCTCAGCAGTATACATAAGAATAAAGTAGGAAACACGCAAAATTAAAATCACCGTATAATGCATGTGGAATTGTGGAAAGTAAATGTGCAAATATGACTCTTCATCCGGGCGATCCCGTTGTCAATGGAGGAAGGGTTACAAGACCAATTCTCATGGAAGCTTTCTGATTCAGGTGAGTTTACTGTAAAATCAGCATATGAGGCAGAAATATGGAAGCAACACAATATGGATATGGGTTGGATTTGGAAAATTAAAGCGTCAGAAAGGGTTCGATGTTTTCTATGGTTAGTAGTAAAGAATAAGATCCTTACCAACTCGGAAAGAGTGAAGCGTAAACTAACGGAGGATGGGCGATGCCCTATCTGCAATATGGAAGAGGAGACAGTGGTGCATCTTTTGCGGGACTGCAGCTTCGCGGCAACTTGCTGGGGAAGCCTACCAGGAGGTTGGGTCACAACACAGGAGCAAACTTCGTGTAGTCTTGACTGGGTGAGGCAACAAAGCATAAAGGAGCAGCCTAGAGTGGAGGGGATTCCGTGTGCTACCCAGTTTGCATATATGGCCTGGAATATTTGGAAAGCGCGAAATGCATGGGTTTTTGAAAATATTTCACCGAACGCGGATCGAGTGCGTAGCCTAGCCAACTATCAAGCAGTGGATTATGCTAGTACGGGCTTGACAAGAGATCTTTGGAAAACTAAAGAAGCAAGAGTGGTGAAATGGGAGCCACCCCCAGAGGGATATCTCAAACTCAATTGTGATGGGTCGTGCAGGGCTGGAGGGGATGCCGGGGCAGGTGGGATAATAAGAGACCATAAAGGAGAATGGATTATCGGGTTTACATTAAACATCGGCAAAACTAACAGCTTTAATGCAGAGCTATGGGGACTACGACAAGGTCTTCTTGTGGCAAGAGAGACTGGGCATTGTAGAATCATAGTGGAGGTGGATTCGGAAAGTATGATTAATGTAGTAAATAAGACACATGAAGAGCGTAGAACATCTGTCGGAAACCTTACTCGGGATTGCCGGATATTACTCAAGGAGGAGAGATTTATTTGCCTTCAACATACTCTGCGTGAAGGGAATAAATGTGCAGATAAACTAGCAAACGCGAGTTATGCATCTAACAACGGTCTTACAATTCTGAACGTGGCTCCGGATTGGATCAAACAAACTCTATGGGAGGATGCAAATGGCTTAGAGAATATTAGATATTAACTATGTTTGTTTTTCTTTCCGTTGTATAAAAAAAAAAAAATAGCACACATTAAAAATTACTTAAAAGTACAAGCATACACCCATGGGTAAACTGATTTAAAGTTAAAAGACAATCTATATGAATGTATCGTAAAACATCACAAACAAGCATAATTGATAGAGGATGGAAAAGGGGAACACATTAGAAGATTAATGTGATATGAAGACTAAAGAGTACGTACTGAGTATGGGAGAA